TTAAAAAAAGCTTAAATAATACTAAAGAAGCTTTTTCTATTAAAGTATCTTTCTATTTAGTTAATAAAGATATTAAATATATTAGTATTAACCTAGTAAATAAAAATAATACTATTAGCTATTTCTTTAAACTTACTAGATAGTATACCTTAGAAGAAGCCTAAATAGTACTTAAGAAGCTTTTTTTATTAAAGTATCTTTCTATTTAAAAGCTAAGAGTATATCTACTATAAAGTAAGACTAATATTTAATAGAAATATAATATACTAAAAAAGAAGGTATTAGTATATTTTTTAATAGCTTCTTCTTATATATCTATCTAATAAAAAGGTTAAATATATTAGTATTAACTTTACTAATAGAAAAAATACTCTTTATTACTACTTTATACTTTCTAGAGAGTATACTATAATAAAGTTTTAAATAGTAATAGAAAAGCTTTTTATAAAAAGTATATTTCTTCTTTTAGCTTTAGCTATAATAAAGATAGTACTTAACTTAGTAATTATACTTATTCTACTTTAGCTCTAACTATAATAAAAATAGTACTTAACTTAGCAGTTATAATTACTCTACTAGTAATAAACTTTAAAAGTAATAGGTTAAAAGAAGAGTTTAAATAGTATTAGAAAAGCTTTTTATAAAGGGCATATTTCTTTTTAATTAGATAGAAGTATATTTATTTATCTAGTAAGTTAAATAACTTATTATTAAAATACTAATAGTAATAAATATAAGCTTTAACTAGATCTTTAGTATTTCTTAACTACTTAGTAGAGTATTCTAGAATATTAATAGTAGTATTAAGAGTTACTACCTAATTAAGCTTAAGATAGTAGTAGTACTTAAAGTCTTACTTAATAATAGAAACTTTATATAGTATAAAGATACCTCTACTAATATACTTACTAGGCTGTAATAGTTAAAAAATATACTATTTATAGTATAATTTAATATATAATAGTTATAAACATCTTTATATACTTATTATAAAATAAAGTATAAATTTACTTACCTATTTAATAATAAACTATAGTTATTTTATACTAAGTTTATATAAATTTACTTTATGTTTTATACTATATTATAGTATAAAACGTAGTCTTTCTTCTGTATTTTTTACCTAATAAAGCTGTAGAGTAAATTACTTAATTTTGTACCTTACACTAAGGTACCGCGTTAGGGTAATTTACACTAGCACTAGGTAATATATACTACAGAATTAGGTAAATTTACCCTTTTATATAATAATAAAAAAAGACTATAATAATAGGTTTTTAAGGTATAAAAGAAGAATTCTTACCTTCCTTTATATATCTATATAGAGAGATAAGATTATTTCTTAAGATAGAAAATTTTTATTTTTTTTATTTTAGCGTTTACTACTAAGCTATTTTTTTACTACCCTCCTCCTGCTATAAAACTTTAACGTATCTTTTTTTTTATTAGCTAGAACCTGCTAAATAGATAAAGTTTAGGTAGGAGGAGTATCTCTTATACTAGGCATACGTATATAGGTATATAGATAGGTAGGTACGTAGGTAGTAGAGGAGTAGACTTAAAGGTTTATCTACATTAGAAATAAGAAGATTATGTAAGCTTATTCTATAATATACTGTATCTTCTATATACGCTAAAGGGCAGTATAAAATATATAGAAGAAAGACTACGTTTTACACTGTAATGCAGTATAAAGTAGCGGAGTAAATTACCCGATTTTGTACCTCAGTGTTAGTGATAGTTAAGGTAAGTTGTCGGTTATATTCAACAAAACTGCCGATATAGGCTATGATTTGGACGAGTAAAGAGAGGAAATCTTTCCAGCAATTGTCTAAATACACCGTGCATCTATACGCAAGACGCAGTCCGTTCGCTTGTTGGATGTTCTATTAGTGGGAGATGTAAGACTGGGATCGAAAAGACTAAGCATGTGTGATGTTTTTGATGCGCCTTTGGCTAAGACACGAAGATTGGAGAGCTATTCTACGGCAAGCTCACACAGCACTCTTGTTGAACGACCCTTGAACACTAGTGCTATCGCATCAGTCAGAGCAGGCTTGTCTATCAGCGACCTGATCCATGGTTCGACCTCCAACATATCCGATAACGACAACAGCGACTGAGAGCAAACGATTAAAGCAGTTCAATTCCAAGAGTAAGTAGGAAATCTTGCTTTGGCTGAGTTTTTCGGGCGTTTCAAAATTTCCACAGTAGTGTTGTCACGTAGGATTTTGCAGACATAGCCGTTCTAATCAGTCGCTGATGATTCACAGCCAGAGTTTTTACAGAAGTTAGTATACGTCTCCAGATGTGAGGAGAGACTGGGTTGACGAGCGTATTGTCATTATATCACAATCTGGGTAATGAGACCGAACATTCTGGCGCCGAGTGGCGTTGGAAGAGAGTGTGAAGGTAATCATGGGAGGTTTGAAGGGGTTTCTCAAGTCGGAAAACAAAAGGCAACCATTAGATGATAGATTATAATTAAGATAGAATGTGATCTCAGACCAGACACTAGTTTACGTTGGCGTGACATCTGATTTATGAACTGCAAGCAGGTATATGGTCTCATCGTTCTGCCGTGCTATTAACATTGCCTGTTTCTAGTTCCGGCAGCGGCTTGTTTGAACCGAGTTCATGTAGTGACCTTTCCGACCCAAGTTCGTATAGTGGCTTGCCCGGCTCTTCATACATTTCTGTTGGATGTGACACTGTATCTCCCTTAGTTGAAGGCGGTACGGCAGCGTATTGTGCCTTCAGTTTTCTTCTCCGCAAAACACGCCAGTAGATCAAACCACCAACAATAAGGAGGCCCACTACACCCCCAACTACACTACCTGCAATAACGCCTGTGGCAACTTCAGAATCCTCTGGTGTCGCCGTAGGCGACTGACTGCTGATATTATTTGCGGCCCTGGTGAAGAGCCATTCTAGACCAATGTCGTTCCATCTGTTGGGATACTTGATTTGCCCGCCATAATAGCTGGCAATGACATTTGGTGCAGTATAGGCACTGGCACCTGGGTCGAAGGAATTCGTCCATACCAACTCCGTCAAATCGAAGACCTTGATGCCAAGCAAATATGGATCTGTCTCATTGATCCGGGAGGTAGTCTTGGTATTATCAAGCGGAGCGTCTTCCAATGAGGGATCAAGGCCTCCAATACTCAGCATCTGGCGCTGGCCGGCAACATGACAGGTATGGATGTAACGCGCGTCCGTAGTTGCATTGACCTTGAACCAGGTGAATGCCGGGAGTGTTAGGACGTACATAGAGGCGGCCGTGTCCTTGATATTGTCGGTAGTTTCGAGAGGGCTCCCCCCATATACGAAGATCTCTGAAACAATTGTTAGTCATCAGAGACTGGCAGTTGAGGACAAAAACGTGATTACCGTAGGTATCACCTGATGAAGATCCAACGCCAACACTGCAGAAGAGGTCGCGACGACTCGGAGTGTCACCTGAAGTGCTCTGGGCATACCAACTACCCAACCCAATATCGAACACTGTAATATTGCTCCAGGTGACGGATTGGTGAGAGGCCATATCGACGCCTCCAAATATAACTAGCAGGCCTTCAGTTCCCCATGTAGGCACGTACTGAGCATTGCCCTTCTCCCAAAAGCCACCGCCTGGAAGTGATGTAGCCGATTTATTGGTCCACGATTTCTCTTCATAATCGTAGTAGAGCAGTCCGGGTAGAGGAACGTAATCGCTGTCACCAGGAGTTTTGGAGCTGCTATACTTTCCACTCAGGTAGAATCCGCCTTGGTCGCTGTACGTGCTTGCGCCATAGACTGGACGATCGAGTTTAGGGAAGAGAGTGTCGGAACCCGGTTCGATCTTACTCCATGAGCCATTGAGACCGGTATCGGGCGTGAGTGCCCAGAGCTCTACGGGCGGGATATTGCTGGACTCGATGTTTGGTTGAAAGAAGCTCATTTGGCCGCCCCATGTGTATGCTGTGTTTTCTTTCTTATTGACCCAGAACGTAGGAAGGACAAGGTTAGGGCAGTTGTTTTTAGCGATGAGTTGAGCGGAAGGTCGCGATTGCGTTTGGGAGGTGGAGAATGGCTTCGAGAGATCGACTCCGATCGTCCAATTGTCTATATGGACGATTGGTAACAAGTTCAAGAAACACGTGTGAATACGACCTACTGATCTGCTTCCCCCACTCCCAGGCAGTCGTTGTAACCTCACCGCCATCGATATAGAGTGTCTCACCAAGTATAACAGCTGATATGTGTAAGTAGTTGCAGGGGAAATTGAGAGGGATTTTATATACAGCTGTGAAAAAACCTGCGAACGATACTGCTATGAAGCTCTGACACGGTGTCTTGCGCAGGGACTAAAGCTGCCAGACAGAGCAGTGTAAACCAATGCCGGAAGTTCATGGTAAGGGAAAAAGACGGGCGAGGCTGGGTCAGAACACAACCAGGCAATCTGCGCTTTTTAGAGTTTGTCGCGTGGGATATTTTGGGGGCCATTTCGCCTGCTGCAATTAGGCGTGCCATGGCTGTGTTTTACCATGTTTGAGGCGTAGACTCTGTATGTAACCCGATACATCTGTCTATCAAAAGTTAACCTGCGGTACATAGCATTCAGGAAAAAATCCAACCCCGTGGAAAACTCTACAGTTCTTTCCAATACCAATGCTCTTTTAGCAGAATACATAATTGTAGTGTTGTTATGCTGGTGTTGCCTGCGCAGATTCCAATCTCACTCTTAGCGCTTAGCGGGCGTCTATTGCGGGCGGGGTAGGCTCGGCATGGTCGCTTCCAGCCAGTGACATTTTTACATTAACAGAATATCGTACATTCTCTCAAGCTGGCTTTATTAGTCATCGAGTGCTGGTGCGAATCCTGAGTTCAGGAACAAGAAGTTCAGGAGTCTACAATACGACTATATCCATGGCGCTCGTAAGTTACACTCTTTTGAATGCGACAAACTTACCGATTTTCGCCAATCATTTAGCCCACGGCTCGTGTGAATGATGCGGAATTTGCTACGATTCTGGGCGACGAAGACCACCAGGCAGAGCTTTCGATCAGCTATCCAGTGAAGCACCCATATCGATCGTTCCCGCAGACGCCTTTATCAGGAGAGATGGAAAGTTCATACTGCAAGGTATTTCCGCAGGCTCCATCAAAGGCGGGCGGGAAATGTTCAATATTTTTGCAAAAACACTGAATTTACTGACTCACAACACTGGGCTTTGGCAGTCTTATCCAAGTCCCCAAACAATGCTCTTGGATACAAAAAACATCCTCTCCTGTCATAACTATGATGCCCTGTTTCATGAAGCTCTAGCACGAATTTGCAAACGGGAAGTTGATGATAGCAAATTACGATCAAACTCAATAAAAGAGTTCGAGGAGAATAAGAACTCTGAGGACAACGGAGGAGGATGCTCCTACGCAAGATGAGACCTTTGAGGGAAATGACGCAAAACTGTGCCCTGTATATCGAATTACGCTTCTACTTTCCCTTATTGCTCGAACAAACGAAAGTCACTTGCAACCTTGAACATTCAAACACACTTTTCAGAGCATTAACACGCACTCAAGATATCTTTCTCATAAACGTCTACCCACAACGAACCGACCTGCTCTCTGCTAAGCACGGTCCAAGCGTCGACGCGCAAATCCCGGTCCAAACGGCAAGCGGCAGCTACTCAAAGACTTCCGCTAGCTCAATAGCGGCTCTCATCGTCGTGAACGGGTGGCTGAAAGAGCAGCTGTGTGCACCACCACTTGCGTCATCGTTTGGTGTCCATGCATTTAGACGCCCAGGAGAATATTGATCTAAAGATGTTTGGACTATTTTGTATTTGCTCAACGAGACGTCTATCGAAGAGAGTCGAGTGCCCCTTCTCCTGAGATATCAGCATGACGGTATCAAGAGGACAACTGACGAGCTGAGAGATGTGGCGCCGCTAGTAGGGGATGTGGCTTGCAGATAGGCAGCTGAAAAGTTGTTGCCCAATCTTTGTTCGAGGGTGGATCCGCGGGCCACTAACCTTGATTGCGTCTTTGAACATCTTTTAGCGACTGCTTTATCGGTTCTGACGAAAAACAATTCATATTCTACACTCTAATCCGGGCACACCCAGGAGGGTGGTGAGGGGTGCATGTTTAGTGTGACCAGTCAGAGTGAATGCGTATACGTGACAGCTGACAGGCGTACAACTTCCATCCTATTGCAATATGTATAATCAATCCCCGTTTTCCTTTTTGAGATTTGGGTCGAAAAGGATGACATGATAACTTATGCCAGCCTTTGTTTTCGATAGAGGTTCAGCCCTCCTTGTGCAGTTCAGCCGCGCCACAATACCAGCTGGACATGGTCCAAGACGCGTCTTCGAAGCGCAAATTCGAGTGTCTAGACCTCGCTTCTGGATAAAACATCTGATGGTGGCCATCTGAAGCATGTGCGTGTCTGTGCACCTTGTGCTTCCTCACAGGGTTGTTACTTCTTTATAAATGCCTAAACTTTCTCTTCATCCTTTCTTATTCAGAGCTCCTCGTCAAAACTTCAGATCCTGTGTCTTTCGCCCTTTGGCATTTCGAGCTCGACCCCTTGCCACTGCTGTCACAATGTCCACAGTTAATTCACCCAATCCGGACAAGAAATACCGCAAACTTGTGCTCTGCTTTGACGGAACTGGAAACACCTTCGAAGGAAACACCTCAGACACGAATGTTGTTAAAATCTATGAGAAGTTGAAACGAGATGATGACTACCAGTATCACTACTACCAGCGTAAGCGCAGCTCCTGTCTGAACCCACGATGACCAATAGCAAGGCTATATAACACTGGTGAAGAGGCTCTTTGCTAACTAAACCTCCACAGCCGGTATTGGTACTTACGACATCAGCGGAGGCTCACTTAACAAGAATATGTTGGGCAATGTCGTAAGCGGGATCTCGAAGTCGATTGACTCAGGTCTTGCAACATCCTTCGATGTCCATGTCATGTCTGGATACAGATTTCTCATGAATCATTACGAACCCGGAGCCAAAATCTACATGTTTGGTTTTTCACGAGGCGCCTTCACCGCCCGCTTTCTGTGTCGGATGATCAATACGGTTGGCCTTCTGTCGAAGGGTAATGACGAGATGATCCCATTCGCCTATTCTCTTTATCAACAATGGGAGCAGGCGAGAGATGATCTGGAGTTCCACCAAAAAGGATCTCGGGCCCCAAATCCGGATGAGTCGAGCCCTCTGCTAAACCAGGAACCAAAAAAGGCGAAAGAGCTGAAGGAGTATTACAAGATGTACAACTTCACAAGGACGTTCTGTCGTCGCGACAAGATTGACAACCCCGCCCCTGGGGAAGATGCCCACCCCGCTGTCAAGATATACTTTCTTGGAATCTTTGACTGCGTAAGCAGTGTTGCTGTGCTCGAGACACCATTTGGAAGAACCCCAAAGCCGGTTTCTGTCGTCGGTACTGCTGAGCATGTACGACATGCTGTCGCCGTTGACGAGTTTCGCGTGAAGTTCAAACCTGCTCTACTGGCCCAGGATCTGACCCATGAGAAATATGACTCGAATGAAGACATCAAGGAAGTCTGGTTTCCAGGCAACCATGGTGACGTTGGCGGAGGCTGGCCAGCACACGGTGCAGAGAAGGAAGAAACGGGCTTCCTCGCTCGTGCAAAACTCTTCTTACTTGGAGACAAGGACAAGATTGCCGTAAAGGATGTTGGATTTGGCCCATATCAAATGAGCGATATACCTCTGAGCTGGATGCTCCGCGAGGTTGAATTGATTGGTGCCAAGGAGGACGCCTATGCGCTCAAATGGTCCAAACGACTTGCCGGTTTCAAGAACAACATTGACCAGGCGGAAGCATATAAAGCTTCGCTCCACAACCCAACGTCGTTCGGCTGGGGTTCCAGCTTTCTCAAAGTTCTGATGTGGAAGTTCATGGGTAAGCGCACAACTTTGCTCTGATTTTTCTGAACATTCTGAGAAACTGATCTTTGGCAGAATATATTCCACTCTTCCCAAGATACGAGCTCACCAATGAAGATCCAGGGGTGTGGAAGATGCAAACCTGGCCAGCAAACCTGGCCAGCGCTCGGGACATTCCTAAGACTGCACTCCTGCACGCATCCCTTCTCCACCGACTGCATAATGACACAGCATATAAACCCAACAACAATCACGGATCCGGAGGCCCATGCTTGGATAAAGAAAAGTTCGTTGAAGTTGAATTCAATGAGCCTCCCCAGGACAGAAAGGTTGATCACAAACTCTATGCGCTGGATATCAAGATAGCGCAAAATTTCGCGACAGAAGCTGATAGGATTGCCCTGGTCAAAGAAAAGGAGAGAAAGGCGCGTCGTGCCCAAAATGGGCTAGTGACTAAACCTGCCATGGCTGATCGCGTCGACAGTCTTCAAGGGATTTTGCACTGATTACGAATCAGGGCATGGAGTTGAACGGTTCGATTCCAATATTGGCGTTGGTAGGATGTTGCGATCTTATGTATGAACTTTCCTGTCTACACCCACTTAATCTATACTATGTTTACTCCATTGCTTGATGTACAAATAATGATCGCATTCGTTCACAAAGTCAACAAGCTCTAATCTAGTTTGGTTAGATATGCAAGAGCCTTATCTACAGGAATGAAGTGTGAAATCAGACACTGAGGAATCGCAGCGTGTGAACTAAGCCGCGGCTTCAAAGTGTAAAAAGCACAGTAGAAAGACAGCTTTTGATTCCAAAACGCAGTGTAAAACGTGAGATAAACTTACACACATATACATAGATAAGAAATAGTTTTACAGAAAAGTTCCTGGAGTTCTATCTATACATATATCTCGAAGCTTAATTGCGAGCTGGAATCTGAGCTTGATTGTGAGTTGAAATCGCGAGTTCACATAAGAGCTCTATCGTGGGTGGGCTCGCAGGTAGGCTCGTGAGTGGGCTCAATCGTAAGCTCTATTTTGTGTAGGTTTATAGAAAGGCTTAATTGTGAGAGTGTAGTTAAGATAGTGTTAGTAGCTGAGTTTCCAGCTTATGTAGGGTGAGCTGGAGTAAAGTTGTTGCGATCAACAAGACTACCGGTAAACGTCATGCGGACAATAGTGTAGTTCCAGTAAATTTAACTATGCGCGGTGTAATAGTGTGAATTTACCCGAATATGTAGGCTACATTTACCCAAACCAGGGTAAAATACACCAATGCGGTACCTCGGTGAGACGCAAGGATACTGCAAGCACAAGATTCGTAAAAAGCTCTGAGTGCCAAGTCGTGGTACTGAAATGACTAAAAAAGTCAAATTAACATGACATGTTCAAGAGAACAAAACCGGATGTCACTTTATGACCAAGAATCGCTCACACGTAGACTTCAACGAAATGGTTGGCTCTGGGTTAAGCACATGTCGATATTCTGATAACTGCTGTTGAGATAGATCAATAGTGAGCGTTTTGGGATTGGTTTTATGCACTTCTCTATCCCCAGTAATAACGACAGCCTTTGCATTGATAGTGCTGTTATCGAAATCGATGCAGATGATGATGAACAGCCGGCTTTGTTGAGGCTCCCAACAACAAATTTATGGTCTTTCAAAAGCGCAGCACATGGGAAATGGAAGACAGTGATCTTCAATGAAGGGTCATTGAGGAGTCTGATTAGAAGTATCCTCAACAAACTTGTCGACACAGCTCCCAAGTGCTCAAGGTTCTGGAAGTATTGACCGGATTGCAAAGTTGGGTCATGATGTTGCCCAATTATTCTGGCCATGTACTACGAATGACTGTGTTCGCATCAGTGATGTATGGTTTCACGAGTCATTCATTTCCCATCATGCCCGATTGGGTGTGGACCTCGGGCCGGCGCAGGCTACCCCACCGCTAATGCAAGTTGCTGACAGCAGGCATCATATCGGGGTTAAGATTGCTTAAACGCAGATAAAGAGTGTGGAGAACCTCATAGTTTCGACTACCAGCCTCTCACTATCACGTCCGATCCACATCGGAATGTGATGAGGCTCGACATGGACCTTTCGCATTGGCCAGCAGAGCAACTGCCAAGTGATCAACTCCCAAGGCTGTCTGGAATTAATGCTATTCAATCAAAATCAGATGAGGAGCACCCGAAATGGACAACCGACAAATCCAAGGCGTTGGGAAATAGCAGGACTCCAACTCCACAACCATGGATTTCCAAGGATCGAGAGTACGCGAGGCAGTCTCTGTGCTTTCGTAGCTACTTGTTGCTCCTGTTACTGGTTTCGTTACCGAGATGAATGCATTACACGTCACAGGTAGCGGTCATAAAACGAAACATGGTACTAGTGAAGTAGACTTTGTCAAAAAAGGTGCACAAAAAAGGTAGTATGTACTACAGTATTAAAGTGCAAGACTGAACAGGTACAATCACAATAACCCGTTCGTAACATCGAGGTGAGCATGTTTAACAACCCATGCCGTCCATCTTCGAAAGAGACGACAAGACCTCGAGCTCGTTGAGGTTGTTGATGGTTAACGGACAATCGGATGGATGCGGAAAAGAGATCGGCTATGAACTCTCTTTACCCACAACTTGACGTAGCTAGGTACCACCAAGGTCTTGGCGAGCGCAATATGTCTCTTTTACCGTCATCATGCTGCATGGTACACCATCGAGATCTTGGTAAAGTGGCTATGCTTGCCGTTGACGTACCAGATGATTCAGATGGACATTGAGATAAGCGTTTTGACTAAATGCGATCCCAGACAATGCCGATGGTCAATGGACACTAAGAAATGGTATATAAGGGGATATGGCAACTCATTGAAAACTCTTATCAACATTTACTGCCTTCTCTCACCTCAACACACCAAACTCTACACACCAAACTCTATCTATCCTCCAGCATGGCTTCCATGATGCGTGGCGTTGTCGGACTGGGGCAGGCATACAATGTCTCCGTTATCGACGTACCTATTCCTACCATCCTCAATGCAACTGACGTCATTGTTCGTATGAATATGAGCGCAATCTGCGGATCGGACATGCATTTCTATCATACCGAGTCAGGGTCGCCGGAATCACCGTGGTACTATGGTCATGAAGGTATCGGCTACGTTACCGAGATCGGTGACGCTGTGCAGTTCTTGAGCGTCGGCGACTATGTGGTCATCCCCGACAACGTCGACAGCGGACACTACACTCCGGGGCCGAACATTTTCGATCCGTCTTTGACCTTTGGCGCAGGACCGGAAGGATTGGACGGAATGCAAAGTAAGTCTCTGCTTGTCTTGCGATAAGCCTCTTACTGATTACCTCTGTCCCTTATAGCGGATTACACAAGAGTACCGTTTGGAGATAGGTCTTTGATACCTGTACCTGTCAATGCCAGCACCGACGAGTCAACCCTGATCGACTACTTGTTCGTTTCGGATATCTTTGCGACCGCTTGGAGTGGAGTCACCTTCTCTGGATTTGTCGAAGGAGACACTGTTGCCGTCTTCGGAGCTGGACCCGTAGGTCTTTTGGCAGCCTATTCTGCGATACTTCGCGGGGCATCTCGAGTCTACATTGTAGATCAAGTGCAAAGCCGCCTGGACCTTGGCGCGTCGATTGGTGCCATACCTATCAACTTTCGAGACTCAGATCCTGTTGAACAAATCCTGGCAAGAGAACCTGGTGGTGTAAGGCGGACTGTGGAAGCTGTTGGTTTTGAAGCGGTCAATGCGACTGGCCAAACCGATTCCAGTATCACTCTACGCAACATGGTAAACGTCACGGCGGCTAAGGGGGGTATGGGAGTACTCGGAGTATTCCCGGAGGGGATCAACAACTTCGATATTGGATTGGCGTATCAAAAGCAGGTTAACGTGCATGGAGGCGTTGTTATTCCTCTAGAAGTTGCATCGGAGATACTACCTCTGATTATTTCCGGCCGGGCGAAGCCAAGCTTCATTGTCAGCAGCATCATCGGCATCGAAGAGGTTCCCGAGTACTTTGCTCGATTCAGCAGACACGAGGAAACCAAGGTTGTGATCAGACTATGAGCGGCTTGATTAAATTTAGTTGTGGCTCTCACCACTGATAAGAAGTAATTGGATGGGATATCAGATCAAAACTGTATGAATCGACGGTAGAGACATGTTAAGTTTAATGGTATAATATAAAACATGCATACTACCAAGTTGGCCTTTCCAAGGTGATGTTGGTGGATACAAATGTCGCATGCTGACGTTGTCCGGCCAACGACGCTAACAATTTATCGCACCCCACAAACGCAAATACCAGTAGGTCCACCCTTGCAGCCTCACACGACTCTCGACCCCCACGTCGACCACGAGCCCAACTGCAGTCTCTCGTTCACGACTCACGGATACGATGGCACCTAAAACATACGGAAAGAAATCACATATACGGCCTGCAAAGAGTTTCGCGCAGTGTCTTTCGCCCGACAAAGATATTCGAGCCGTGAAGGAGAAGAAGAGCTGGTTGGCGCAGTTGGAAGAAGCATCACAAGATGGAGGAAAGGAGAGGGAGGAGGGCGCGGACATGGCGGGCCTGGAGCAACAGCTAGGCGGTCTGACAATGGGGAGTGCAAAGGGCGATGGTGCGACAGAGAAGACCACGGATAGGCCAAGGCATACAAATACCGCGGTCAGGACACACACATCGACAGAAAATCCACTGGAGAAGGGTATGGAGGGTCTGACGTTGGGTCACAAAAAGGGTACGGTGAAAGTACAGGTCGTGATACCAGCGAAGAAGGGAGGGCCAAGGAAGGTGCTGGAAGATCGGGATGCGAATGCGACTACAAAGGACGAGACCGTGCAGACAGTGGACACAAAGGGGCAGAAGCAGAAGCAAGACACGAAGGAAATGGATAAAGGTGCCAAGACCGCGCCGCCACCAAGCACACCCGTACGCCCAAAAAAGAGCAAGTCGAAAGCGAAGTCCAGAATTGCACCAACACAGATGACGCAAATACCGACACCCGAACCAACCCCAGAGCCTGACGATGTTTACTCTGCGTACGTCTCTCCGCTTCTGTCTCTCAGCTATGGAAAGAAGATTGTACCGTTCGAGCAATGGTCATCAGAGCTCCAACCACATTTCCAGATCACCAAGATCGCGGAAGCCTCCTTCTCAGAAGTGTACCGTCTCTCAGCCACAACCACCTCACCAGATGGCATTACTCAGGAGTCTGTGCTGAAACTCATCGGCTTGAAGACCCCGCCAGACGCCCCACTCCCCAGCCAGACACAAGCCCGTGCAGTCCGAGACCGAAACGGCCAATTGGAAAAGGAACTAGAAGAACGAGAAGAGAAAGACGCATTCAAATCTCACGTTGCCGACGTCCTCTCTGAAGTCCGCCTCCTACAAAACCTCACTTCAATCCCAGGCTTCACCATCTTCCGCGACTTAACAATCCTGCAAGGCCGGTCATCCTCTCTCTTCAACGCCGCATGGACAAAATGGAACAAGGCTCGCCCCCGCGGCAAGAAGAGCTACTTCCCCGACCCCAGCAAAAAAGCCAGTTACGATAGCACACAACTCTGGGCCGTTGTAGAGATGCAGGACGCGGGCACGGACGTGGAGAAACTGATGGAGAACGGCGGATTAGCGAGTGTTTGGGCAGTCTGGGATGTGTTTTGGGGGGTTTGCGCGAGCGTGGCCAAGGCAGAGGAGGTTTGTGGATTTGAGCACCGAGATCTGCATCTAGGAAATATTTGTGTCCGGTCGAGCAGGCCAGATGCGGATGTCCAGAGTCCCGAGGTTGAGGAACCATTAAAGCGCAAAATGGGGTTCACAGGGTTGGAGACGACGGTCATTGATTATACGTTGTCGCGCGCAGAGATTGTTGCATCGTCGTCGCAACGGCCTACACCCTCATCCTCTACACTCGACGTCGCATATCTCGATCTCGACAAAGATCCCGCGCTCTTCCAAGGCGACGCGCAGGAAGAATACCAATACGAGATTTACCGCTACATGCGTGGTGTCGCCCTATACGACAACCCTTTACAACAAGAACCCACACCAACCGTACAGGCACCACGCCGCTCCCCAAGAAAAAACACACATATTCGCTTCGAAGAAACAGCGACAATACCAGATTCAGAAGATGAGGCAGAGGCAAAGGTCGACGTATGGAGATCGTTCCACCCCCGCACAAATCTCGTGTGGGCGCACTTTCTACTTCACAAGTTGCTTGCCCATCTCGAAACTATGAACGCCATTCCCACTGCGTCTTCTTCCAAACACAGCTCTGAGTCTGCAAACGAGGATGATGAAAAGATAAGCAAGAAGGCGACGAAACTGTACAAGATTCTGGTACATGTTAGCGAACTGCTATGCCCCATGGCTTTGGGGGGAGAGGGCAGTCTGGGGGGCGTGAAGGAGTTGGTGGTTTTGGCTATCGAGGAGCGGTGGTTGAGGGTTGGGGACGTGAGGGGGTGAGAAGCGTGTTTGAAGGTGGTCGCATACGCTATCAAGGCGCTTGGGTTATGAATATGGGGGTTTTGGGCTGCATCGAACGGCGTTCAGAGATCGGGTTACATGGATGGAGTGGTGTTCTGACGATGAAGCATACACAAGGCGTAGGTTTTAGTATTGCTACGAATTATTCATGACTATGGCGCTGCTTTTCCCAAGTATCGAAGGAAAACTTTTTCTTGGGCATTCAACAGTGTTGATGTGTTCGCTCATCACTTGTCATCCTCGTCTTGCCATCCTCACCTTGCAAACCGCAAGCCACGAACTTAGCGCGGGACAAACACCTAAGCGGTGTAGAACGTGTATCCCCGTGTGGGTCTACTGTGGAGATAGTCGTGCACTACGCACCCGAAAGCCTAGATTCTGGATCCCAAATCCGCTTGGCCCACCGTAAAACTGCCGATATCTTCCATGCAGGCACGGTTGGATACGTAGATAATAGGACACAAGTACCGATAGGTACCCTCATCACGACGCTTGTCTTTGTGGGTGCCATACCTGCACGCAGCTTCTGTTTCGTAACCCTCTTCGAACAAATTACAAGTTGATTTTCAACACCACCCAAAAAAACAAGAAAGATTGTGTTGTGTCGGACAAAATGACACGAGGTATTCTCTGGGTGTCATCGCAAATTGAGAATCGAGATGCTCTCACGCCGGAGAAGTTCTGCGAGTGGTATGAAGACGTACGTACAATACTCTCCACCAATCTCTGCACTAACCACATGCTAGACACACGTCCAAGAAGTCCTCGCCCTCCCCGGTTTCCCGTCCGCCTCACGCTGGCAAATCGTCGTACCAGGATCTTCGTCTACAGATGCACAAAGCACCCGCCCACCGTGGCTCACTGTTTTCGAAATGCGGGATATCGCGTATAAAGACTCTCCCGCTTTTCAGGCTGTGCATAACCAGGTCCCTCCATTGGAATTGATTCAGCAGGTGTATGCGCATGTAGGATTTGATATTCGGTTTTACGAGGAGGTTTCTTGCGTGGAAAAGCCCGGCGTGGGATCGGAACCGGGTCAGTTGCTTGTATCACACGAGTATGGTGATGAGAGTGTAGCTGGTGAGAAGATGGAGGGAACGAAAGGGTGGGCGCGCACACGACGGTACAAGCTTGTTTCTGGAGTTGTAATCAAGTGTCTGCAGCGTGAGCAGACTGAGATGCCAGGGTATCTGGCGGTCCATGAATTCGAGGATGTTGCTGAGAAGGATGGCGGGGAAAAGTTGGCGTGGTATGGGGTCAGAAGAGTGTATCCGGAGAGTGAGTGGGGGAGTGTTGGCATTCAACAGACACAAGCGTAACTTGAGCTGCTGGCGTGAGATGGCTTCTAGATAATGGTGACATTGTGTTCGTCGAGAGTTTTGTTTGCGTTGTAAGAATCGCAATTCTCGTCTTGCAGGAAGAGGACGACTATGCGTTTGTATAAGAGTGTTTCGGTGTTACATCGTTGTAGCATGAGAGCACCCAGTCTCCAGGGCAATCCATCAGTAAGTAGTTTACACCATTGATTTCGTCCATATGAGTCCTCAGAGACCGCAGTGCATACGACGTGTGCGCCATAACATTGCGCTTTGATAATAAGCCTTCGCCGCTGTTTCTTGCCCCTGTTGCTGCTATGTTGCATAAAGCTGAAGCATGAACCTGTCTCATGGATGCAGCTTCCCTATGCCAATCGGATAGGTCATCGTTGTCTTGAAAAATGCGCGAAGATTTGATCCAGAGGTATGGGATATCGAGATCGCGCCAGACCTCAACGGCCTCCCGGAAAGTCTTCGGCAACTCCTGGATGTTGACACCCGTCCATAGGGATCTTTCAGACCCGCGTGTAAGTGTGAAGGGCAAGGATCCGCCCCAAAATGTGACAGAGCGAAGTAACACCCTTGTGTCTTCCAATGTTATCTCGGAACAGTGCCGGCCTTCTATCTTGAGCAAACGCGTAGAGAAGAAAGCAGAATCGGCGGCATTGCGAAGACGGCAAGTTCGGCGTGTTTCAAGACAATTCTGGACTTTCGATTTCGTGAACGATATTTTGTCGCTGGCAATTGTATTTAACCAAGGGGTCGATTGCAATGCGTATGCAATTCTGTGATATGTAAGAAGTCGTGAAATCCTGAGCGTTGGTGTGGAACATACGCACCAAAGGTACGACGTGAAGAAGTATCTGATGTGGTGTTTCATCAACATCTATTTGCGTAGTTTGGATCTCAATCTCTGCACAGTTGGAATCTATCGAAAATCGAATACACCAGAGACTGCGTTCATGTTCATTGGCCTTGTGATGCCTGTAGTCATCGACGATATTGGCGCAAAGATGGCAAGATGCTGGAAAATCTCAGAATCCCCACGATGATGGACTGCCAGATTACTCTTCTCCATATTGCTCAAATCATTGTGGCAGTTATAGCAAAGTCGTGAGTGCGTCGAGACCATCGTGTCAGTGTGCCGTGATTACGATAGCAAAAAGTAGCGACGACAATCTTCTGAGGGCAGTTTTGAGCATCCAAGTTGCGCTGCAGAACGAAGTGTGATGATCTTTATGGAGATGATAGCAGAGGTTTTAGAGACGTGGCAGCTACTGACAACTGCGCCTCATGCAAGTTACAACACCCTCACCATTCAAGCTGCAGGCTTTCAGTCCAACTGCTCTTCTTCTCCAGCCTCACAGCCTCTGCAACATTCCCCTTTCCAAGATCACCGCCGTAGAAATGCGCGAAACACCCATGACCCACTTCTTCCCATTTGACCGCTGCCTTGCTATCCACCTTGCCATCCCCGTCGGTCCCCGCAGCCAGCGCCTCGTATTTGATCTTCAGCAGCCACAACTCCGCGGAGCTGCCGAAAAACCGGTCAGCAGTGCCAGGTACCTGCTCGGCTGTCGAGAGATGAATGTAGCCATCGTTGCGGTCGAGATCTGACAATGGGAGGCGTTCAGGGAGGGGCGATGGCGGGGCAGAAGGCAGGATTTTGTATAGATACGTTGGCAGGGGTGAGGGCGCTGGCATGATGACGATGGACCAGATGGATGGATAGTGGTTTGTAGATCAAGATTTCCGAGTGGCTAGAGTTTCGATGCTTGTGATGCTTGGATCTCGGCTGTAGATTGCGTCAACGCGCGCGCGCCTAGGCTAGTCAGCATCGGCTTACGTGATACGCGATGTGTGACGTGACGCAGGAAATAGCCGTCGACCTTATGAGCTACTACGATCTTGGAAGTCATACGAGCGCCCGGCGATATGACGACGGATCACGTTGCCCTTTTCCGTTCTCCCTACGTAAAGGCTAGGAAGCCTCCATTCGTGAGACGCGAAACCATAACATTCTCCATACACCTACGTGGTTGTGGATTTTTGCCAAAACGCCTTCGGACGCTATGACTAGCACCACAATTCTTCATTGACGTAACGCGTCCATCGTCGATTCACACGCGACACACTTCTAAGACGGCTACTCGAACGCTCTGCCTCATCTCATGGCTCAAAACACATGGACTGGGCGCCTACGCCCCTCCGAAAAAACGTCGTTCGACTCTTTGACGCCTGCTCCAGGGGCTCTCTGCTGTGTTGCCAACACAGACGCTCCTCAGGAGACCTTGGTGTACTTTGTGTATCTCAACTCCGGTGCTGCCAACACTGTGTTCAGGATTCAGCCGTGGTCACCCAAATCCGGGTCTAAGGCCTTCGTTTTTGCTCGCAATGATCGTGGCGATGCTATCACAGCAGTTCAACGTGATGGAATTGTGAACCAAGTTCTCCGGATCAGCAAAGGTGTCGACAAATCTCTACCTTGCGAAGATGTGGTATATGGGTTCGAGCACGATGTTCGGCCTCTATTTGCGCCGACAGGACCTCCAGGTAGCACTGTCGCTCGCCGGGTTGACGCTCATCTCATGGATCATCGGGGTGTACTGCTCTCTACCGACGTTCTAGAAGAACTGTTTGTCCAACTTAACACTGCGAATAAGTCAGCCGTGCTTCCGACACCAACCGGCGCTCGGTGGGGTATCCTTCTACCGGATATGTCGCCAGCTCCTGGATCCATGACCCTTGAGGTCAAACCAAAATGGCTCCTGCAATCGCCCGATGCTCCTGCAGACGCAATCCGTTGCCGCACGTGCGCGTTACAAGCTTCAAGACACCGAGATGCAAAAGGCTATATATGTCCGCTGCGCCTAGTAGGAAGAGATCAGCGAGACATCGTTCCATGGGTTCGCGCAAGTATCGTGGCTCACTACAAAGGGCCCCCAGATGCCGTGGACGAAGTAGTCAGTCGCCTCCTCGAATACATAACTACCGGTGACGGGCAGTTCCTCTTGCAACACCTCAAGGTACTTCAAGCAACTCTCGACCCAGTGGGTGTTCTTTGCCGGGATTCCGCCACCGACAAAATCGCGTTCGACCGCAACTTACGGCTTGCAATGACGTTACGAGACTGCTCATGGTTCGTTAATGTCCCGTATGCTACAGGGTCCAATATTACATCCAAACTCGCAGATCTGGACTTCAAGTCGGCGGCCAAATTACACGATTGGGCACAAAAAGAAGAGGAACTTGTAAAAGGGAATTGGTACACCAGGAAAGACGTGGCGGATTACCGGTGCGGGCTTGCCCAAGATTGAAAAAGACTAGGTCTTTCTAGTGAGATGTATATCTTGCGTAGAAGATTTTCTGCTCAATGAAAGTATCTAGCCATCTGGTTGACAGGCACGATCGCAGGCTTGTGGATTGTGTCAAAGGCGGTACAGACAGTAATACATGATCCGCTTCTTTACACTTACTAGCTTTCTCAGATTTGCGTTTCAATCGCTCAGTACCGTCATCTAAACTCTACCAGTAATCAGACTCACTTTCTCAATCAGAGATCTACAAAACTCACCGTTCTCGGTCATCTAGGTTTTTGCCTTTACTCCCTCGGTTCATATGCTAGGATAGAGCCGCTAGACATCGAGCTTACTACATCAATCACTACAACTATCAAGCCTTCCACTCTCCTCACCTTCCACTCTCCTCACCTTCCACTCTCCTCACCTTCCACTCTCCTCACCTTCCAC